AAAAAAAAAAAAAAGAGGGCCGGGGATTTAGCTCAGTGGTTCCGCCACCTGCCTCACAAGCGCAAGGACCTGAGTTCAATCCCGGTACCAAAAAAAAGGAAGGAAAAGAATGGGTTCTATGTTTACTTTTGGTTTCTTTGATTTGGAAGCTTTATTCTAGGATACAGTAAGTGGAGTGGCAAAAGGAAATGCTAGGCCTTACTCAGATTATCTGACAGAAAACCAGAATGCGCAAACCCTGCTGAGGCTAATGTGGAAGAGTTCGAGCCAACTTTTCTGATAAAGCCTGAAGGTACTGGCTTAACAGAACTAGGGAGCTCAGAAAAGACTCTCTGGAGGCTTCAGAGACCAGGGAATAAAGTGACTGCTATAAGACAAGCTCTTCTGAGATCAGTGCAGTTGCAGGAACTGTTCCTTCTACCTGTTACCCCATCCATGGTGTTCCAACCATTCAGCCTGATATTCCCGCCTCTCGAATTCGTCACATCAATGATAGAACTAATTACGGTGAAGAAGGCAATGCTTGCTGTTTACTACATCCCACCATCTTTGCCCAGAAAGGAGTGTTTGAAAGAGACTTCTTCAAGACCAGATCAAAAGAAGAGGTACAGCAAAGATGGAAATGCTGACATATCAATTATTAGACTTTTAAAAATTATAGCTTTTATATTATAAAAGCCCCAGGATCCCTCAAAATAGTAGTGATGAGTAATGTTCAGTCTGGTTGTGACATTCTAGTACAAGTCATTTTTTGGGACAATTATTGAATAAGAATTTATTCTGAGGAAGATCTACCTACCTGCTTCCTGTTACCTATCTTTTATTTTGCTCAAGAGAAGGGATCAAGAGGGAGAGAGAAGAAAGGGATAAGGGATGAAAAAAGAAATTGGGATTGTGTTATGGGCATGTAACCAACTCCTCACAAGGAATATAAACATTATATACTGCAAACATGTATAAAAAATAAAACAAGACAAAACAAAAAAAGCAAGAGGATCAAGAGATGGGAGGACAGGGGAAGGAGGGAAGGAAAGGGGATGAAAAAAGGAATTAAAATGTATTATGTACATGTACCAACTCCACACAAGGAACGTTAACATTATATATTAAATATATACACTAATAAAAAAGAATTTATTAAGTGACAGGATGCATTTCATTTGTGTTGTATATTCATGACAGACCATGTACTAAAAAGCAAAGTATTTTCTAAAACATTCAATACTGTTCTTAATTGGGAAAAGGGAAAAGGACCAGCCCCTTCTTCGTATGAGTATCCTGATGGCCTAGGGGCCTCTAAAATCACAGAATAGGCCTGAGGAGGCCCGCTCCACTATCCTTTCTGTCCAGTGATATATGTCTCAGATTACCTCAAACATTGATTAAAAATATTGCATCCTAAAAACAAATGAATAAAACATTCTATTCTGTTGCCAAAAAAAGAAAAGAAAAGAGAAAAAAGAGACCTCCTCCCCCACACCATACACACCTAGGACCACGCTGTCCTGACCCAAGAGCAGTCCCTGACTCCATCACTCAACCCTCTCCTTCCCCAGCCACATGAACCCTAACCCAGTTTTCCACAGGAATTGCCTCAGTTTCCTTAGTTATAAAATGAAAATAGCAAGGTTATCTACCTCACACACAGTTACTCTGCAGAATAAGGAACAAACATTCTCAAGTCAGATAATTACATATTTTGTCACTTTTAGCTGAGTTCTGGAATATTAAACAATTTTTGAGAACTGACTCATAACTCAGCTACCCCGTTTGTTCTCCTTGGGAATAAAAATGTTCTGAGATCTAAGTAACCACCTGGAAGTGAATAGAGCACTATATACCCTTGGAGTCAAGAGCGGCAGTAAGCCAGCAAGGCCGCTTTTGCCCACCAGGAGGCAGCAAGCCACCATTTAAGGACACCACAGAGACCAGCGCTTACCTATCAGGAGCCAGTAATTCCTCAAGTAATTGAGTTTGCTCTTCCCTTTGAGTCCAGGGTCAAACTTGAGGTCTGTGCTAGGTGTGATCACACACTCTCCTTTGTCCCCAATGGTGACACCATCCGTCTGGGGACCTTCCAGCAAAGGAAGAGTGCTGCCTCGGGGCTGTGGAGATAGGGTAGGGTGAGCCTGGAGCCCTCACAGGTTCCCCAGGCCCTGCAGCACCCCTCCCCAGCCACCATCCTGAGCCCAGAAGGAACCCCATGGCTTCAGCTGAGCAGGTTTTAGTTTGGGGCCAGGCCAGGCCAGTCAGAGCAGGACATCAAGGCTCCAGGACCAGGAAAGGGAAGCTCTGCCCTCAGGACACGACAATGCTCCCCTGACACCTTTTCAGGTTCTCGCATGTGGACCTGAGAGGGACTCTGAGAAAAATAGCCCTTAGGAGAAGCAGATCTAAGTGAATGAAAATGAGTGCATATCTCAGACACAAAGGAGGCAATCATCAGGGTGGGACAAGCTCCAGCCATGGCCCATAGCAGGAGCTGACAGAGGCAGATATCACCTGCTGCTGTAGAATGGCCAGCCACCTCCCTGAGGAGACTTGAGATAACCTCACAGCCCAACACGGAGGATCAGGATGAGCTGCCAGGGTCAGACGCCTCAGACACAGAGACAGAAGTGCTTAAGAAAGGCTGTTCAGGACCCGGTGGGGGTTGGGGAAGGCAAAAAGCCTGGAAAGGATCTGAAGACAGAAAGGAAGGAGGAGGGATATTTGAAGTGTGAAGCTAGTCCCAACTAAGGCTCAGAAGAAAGTAGAACAGGGAACCTTTGGGAGTCAGGAAGAAGATGTGCTTGGCTAGGCTATGGGGCTCTCACAGAGAAACTAACACGGTGGTGGGAGGACACTGTGTGGGCTGTCTTGGGGAGGCCTGGACACTGCCTGGGAAGTTTAGACTGAACACAAAAGCAACAGAGCCAACTGGGGTTTCCTGGCTTTAGAAAGTGATTTGTGAAGAATCCAGCATGTGCAGAAGCCATTCCTGACACTTGCAGCTCTGTGTTTTGCATTCTTAACCAGAGGGATGTTCACATATAACTCCTGGTCCTTTTTGTTTTTGCTTTTTTGAGGTCTCACTATGCAGTTGAGTGGTCTCAAACTCACTATATAGCTCAGGTTGGCCTCGAACTCAAAGCAGTCCTGCCTCAGCCTTCCAGTGCTGTAATTATAGGCCTGCACTACCACACCACTCAGGTCATTCTTTACTAAAAAGGAGATGGCTGTATCTGTGAGCCCCACAGTGAACTCACCACAACGACGACCCCTTCGTGCACCATGGAGGGAGAGGCGTAGAGGCTGGTGGAATACTTCCCAACATACAGGGTAGGCCTGAAGAGAGGAGACACCCATGTTCCAATCATTTCATGTCCAGATCTCATAAAAGGGGCCTTTGGGAGAACAAAATCAGAGCCCCAGAAACTGCCTTATTAGCCCAGGCATGAGGCAAAGCAGTAGGGTGTGAGACAGGGTGCTGCCGGGAAACAGGACACCAGGACTGCAGGCCTCAGCTTCACTTACTACTTAGAGAAATTTGGACAAGCCACCTAAGGGCAAGCCTCAATTTCCTTATCTGCAGAATGCCAGGGCCAGATTGGCCTACAGAAAGGACTATATCCAATGACCAGCCAGGAGACTGAATGCTTAGCACCCACTGCCAAAGCCTCATAATGACCCTGACCAGCGCACTTGAACACTGATTACGCCCACATCACTATCATGTTGCTTGTGCTTTCAAGGACTAGAGGCTCTGTAAAAGTCCCAAGGAACATTCAACTACAAAAGGGATGCAAAGGAAATTCTAAACCCAGAAATTCTGGTCCCACACCCAGTGGTCTGTCCCTGCCTAAGGCCTCTCAGAGGGGATGGGTGTGGGTCATGGCTGTGCTGCCAGCAGAACAGGGGGAGCTGCACCTCCAGACCCTGTGGTTACTACTGTCAAAAGCCCTTGTCAGGTAGGTCTTCCACTAAGCTACCTAAACATCTCTCAACAAACACCTTCCACCTGAGTGCTGGCTTATGATTCAGCAACATTTTCATACACATTATCTTATTTGACCTTCCCTATAAAGTAGGAAACTGAGGCTTGGCATAGTTAAGTGTCTTAGTGACAGACTATTAGTAGATAGGGACTGAGAATACAAGCCTTCTGGGTGCTGGATATGAACATTAATAAAAAATTTTTTAAATACATAAAGTGAAAAAGATAAATCTCTTGTTACCTCTACAAGAGATATATCCGAATTATACTATAGTTATACTAGCAGTCTCTTTCCTATCCCATAATTTTTATTTGATTCTCAAGAACTCTGAAGCATCAAGGGGCACCACCGGGTCTTATGCTGTTATACTCCTGGCTTCAGAGACGTCTGCCTGACCCCTGGCCTCCACCAGTGCAGGGTATGCTATGCTGCAGCAGAAGCGGAATGGCAAGGTCCCAGCTGCCCCAAGCTGCCCTCTTCTGCCTTTAGTTCCCCAACTCACGTCAGCTTGCTCTTGGCCTCAGTCTCCTTAGGAAATGGGTACTTCCACTTGGTGATGCGGCCCACCTCCCCAGGCATGAAGGTCAGGTAGCGTAGGGTCTCCACAGCAACGTTGATGTGCATCACCTTCCTCAGACCCTCCCTCTGCCAGACGTAGAAGGCCACCACCGGGGATGCATAGTTTTGGATCCACAAGACATCCCCAGACTCACTGTCCACAGTCACCACCAGCCCATCGCCATTGGACACAAAGTGGGACATCTCTATAAGCATCAAATAACGAAGCACATCAATACTTGCCACATCCTGCAACCACATCCTCTACTCTCTTGGCAAGCTGTATTAACCTGGCTAGAGGAAACAAGATTTCCAGAATATTCTCAGAACGATTTCACTAGTTCCAATGAACTTGTTCAGGGTCCTCAATATCAAGTCACTGAGGGAAGGGAGGGCAGGAGAAGTAGAAGTAAAAAGAATTAAGATGAGTTATGTACATGTACCAACTCCCCACAATTAATGTAATCATTATGTACTGCAAACATGTACTAATAAAAAAATTTTTAATGACTCAAAAAAGTGACATCTGTGATCATGTGGACTCACAAAGGAGCACTCAGAGATAGATGAAAATATTCCAGGTCCTGGACTAGAAAAGGCAGAATTAGACTTTCAGATACCAATGTTAAGACGACAACATTGGCTTTCTCAGTTATCATTTGAGTTGGGGGAAGGCTAAAGAAATAACTAGAAATAACTAAGGAGCCGCCCTCAGAGTAGACTTCTCCATCACATGCTGATTTGTAATTATACTGTCCATAGGCTTGTACTAAATTTCTTCTGTGACACACAGAACTCAGTAAGGTGTGCCCCCTCAAATGCACCACCATTTTACTTCAGTTCCCCCTGAGACTTCTCACCCAGGATCCTGGCACAGTGTCTATGGGAAATATTTACTTTCAGCCTGTGGGAAGTCCAGAACCTGGTGTTGAAAGGTGTCTTCAAAGAAAATCCTGCTTTCTGCAATGACTGTTTCCCACAGGTGGAAGGGGCCATGGCAGCCTTGTGAGGCCACTATGAGCACTTACTGTAGTCCCCATCGTCCTCAGGCAGTGAGGCTGCATAGTCAAAGTAGGTGGCGTTCCAGCGGAGCTCTCGGGTTTTGGTGTCATACATGGTGATAGTGTATTCTGAAGGACACAGACAAGCCCATTACCACAGAGGGGCCATGGCACCTACTGAAGTGCTGAACTTATCTAGTTACAAAAAACAAATTCTCCCTAAATTGCATGTTTAAAAGTCTAGGCTATCCGCATTGAACATGAAAGGCCACCGAGAACTATAAGCCCAGACATGAGTGAACCTGGCCAGCAGCATGTGGAGCAGAGACAAGTCACTCTCTTCCTGTACCCTGGAATTCATAGCTCACAGAATCACAGCAATATAACACTTGTCTTAGCCATTAATTTGGGGAGTGGTTTATTATGTTGTGGTAGAAGGATGATATTAAAACTTAGTACCTAGAAGTGGGATGGTACCATAACAGAAACCTAAAAACTGCAGCACTGACTTTGTGACCAGCAAGAGGCTGTAAAGGTAACCAGGAGACTGTGAGTGGAGATTTGAAAGAGCAGGAGGAAATTACCATTAGAAGCTGAAACAGGGTGACGCAGCTTGAGGTCATGTAGTGCTTCTATTAACTTGGAACACAGGAAAAGTAATGACTGGAAGATCTGGCTAAGGAGCTTTAACAGGCAGAGCAGAAAATGCCAAAGCCAATGAAGAAATCACTGACGAAATAGAGGGTCCAAGATTGACTCTCCAGCTAGGAAAGATTCTCCATATAGAAAATCGTTTTAGAACAAAGATAAAATCCAGAGCACTGGGAGTGAAAAATAGGCCCAGGGTCAAGATCAAACCCAGGGTAAGACTACATCAGACCCTTCTTTGAGACCTCAGAAAGATATGATAGTACCTCCTAGACCAGTGATGGCAAACCTTTTAGAGCTTTCAATGATAACAAACAGCCTGCTGTGGCAGTCATACCTTAAGTTCGCCACCACTGTCCTAGACCCTGTGCTAGGTAAAAAAAAACCATAAGTGTGTTGTCCCATAGCACGTCCACATTCTAAAGCAGACTTGTGTGGGTAGAGCTTTTATGTAATAGAACAGACAATAATTCAATATGTAGGAAACCCACAAAAATTTTAAAGTAGTATCAATATGGACTACAATGATCAGAGATACTCAAAATGGGAAAAAAAAAAAAAAGACTAACTCCTCTACGTTCAATAAACAGAACAGACTGTGAAAACTACAAAACTCACCATTTCTTATGGTAAAGAAAGAATTTCTCAAAGGACACAACCAAAAGCCACCCAAAACAATATATTAGGGAACAAATCCTGGAGGGTAAAACTGGGTCCTAATCTAGGAATATTCCTGCCCCCAGGGTAGGGGAACCTAAAAATATGTGCCTGTCTGGATTTCAGAATTACTAAGGTCCAGTATGTGCTTCTCTTTCCTTCCCTGTTTGAATGGAAATGCTTACTCCAGCTATCCTGTCTCACCATTTCACATATGGCAGGGGAAAGGAGTGGTTGCAGGAGAGAGAGAGCTTGTCTTTAATTCTCATGTCTCCAGAGCAGAGGACCCTCATCCCCTTTCAGCCTGATATAGATCCCGAGGAGCTGGACTTAGAGACTATGTTTGTGACTGGACTCAGGGAATCTTGGGGGGAGGTGAATATGTCTGTATGTGGAAGGGCTGAAAGCTACTATACCCAGAGGTGAGACTGTGGTAGACTGTCTGAAAAGATCACCACCACTAAGTCACTCCATCCAGAGGCTGAGTTGGTTTCTCCACCCTTGGCTCTGGGCCAGCCTCAGAACTTCAGTGGAAGCAAGGATGTGGGACTTCTGAGCTCAGAACTTAAAAGGCATTCTAACATCCACTTTTACTAACAGGGTACCCAGCTGTCATGTTAAGAAGTCCAGGCCATGTGTGAGGAAAAAGGTCACGTGGAGGTAAACCAAGGTCCCAGATATGAGTGTGCCCAGCATGCATTGTAGAGATGATCTGTACTTGCTGAACCTTTGCTGAATTCTTACCCACAGAATCAAGAACAATGAAATGGCTGCTGTATTAAAGCACTATGTTAGGTGGTTTATTATGCAGTATTAGATAACGGAAGCAATAGTTTGTGCACCTATGCACACAGATCACCCCTAATGGCCCAAATCTACCTGAGAAACAGACTTTAATAACCAGGTCAAGCTGGAACCACTGTTAAGATTTTACTGGATGGAAAAGATAAACAAAGCTGGGCAGGGTTGCGCATGCCTGCAATCCCAGCACTCAACAGGCCGAGGCAGGAGGATCACAAAGAATTTGAGGCCAGAATGGACCACAGAGTGAGTTCAAGGCCAGCCTGCTGAAGTACAACACAAGATGCTGTCAGAGAGGAGACAGGAGGGGGGAGGGGGG